ACGATTGCGTTAACCTGGGCAATAATGGCAAACGAAACGTTCCTGGACACGTGAGCCTCACGGGTGGTAGTTGCAGAGCGCAACGAAGAGCGTACCAGGCACCTCCGCACACCCCCGCAGCACACCCCCGTGCGACCTCCGGCTCCGTTGGAATATAGGCGAGGAAGTCAAAGCGATCACGTGGTTAATCGGACCACACTTCGTTCCTCGACTTTGCATGCACTCTGACCTACTTACACGGCTGCATCTCCGTGACCGCGTGGAGAAGTCGCGGCAGGTGGTAGCCTGATGAATCGTTCGCTCGGCCTGGTATCGCTAATTATGAGAGGGCAAGAGGGGATAAATCTCGATCTCCGTTTGATAACTGGCTCTATTTTCGGCAACTGGCCAAATTCCGTCTCTGACACTAAATTTAGCGTTGATCGCGTGTGAGATAAGGCGCGCGCGAGCGCAGCGTTGATCTCTCACGATACTCTGAAATTTTTAGGAATTTGATTAACGAAACATTAATAGAATGGAAAAACACAAAAAATCCATGTGGTTGACATATTACTGTTGCTGACGGGCAGCATCGGCGATAGTAAAAGATGAAGTTGCCGATTACGTATCATCGCGTGTATGTGTGAAAATAATTTGTATAGGTATATGTAGGTACATATATATATTTATACAAATATGTACATACACATACATGAACCAATTTTCATGAAATAATTACCGTAAAATAATAAAGTTACATATAAAAAAGTAAAGTAAGTTCAAAAGTTACTGTTTGAAAATTTCGCATATGTACATATGTTGTATCGTTACGTGGATCTTTGTTTAATTTTTCCTTTAATTATCTAAACTTATTTTTCAATGCATAAATTTCTTTCACGACATATCTTATGCCAGTGAGATACTATCTACGTCTTATTTAACTTTTAAGTAAATGTGTATTATTATTTATACCAAGAGTGAATGTCAAGGTTGCGCGACCTTTGACGACCTAGTAATAAAAATGTCGCGTTTCTCAATACAGTGACGGTGCGGTTCTCCAAAAAATTTTATTTATGAACTTTCCGCTTATCCTATGAAAATAAATTGCGATAAAATTTCGAAACATCCATTTTTATTACACTTTTTATTAATTATTATATAATTGCTATTTTTATAAGTACGAACGTCAATGAATTAAAATTCGATATTTCGAATAATATACTCCTTGTTAAATTTAAAATACGATTGCGCGCCAAAACATTCGGACATTCCTGTATTAAATTCTCTCAGTATCAATTTATCTCAGATATGTGTATTCAATATGATCAATCTGAAATACTAATAATCCCCTCTACATTAAATTAGAAAAACTATAAAGACTCTATTGCGAAAAATATTACCTCAGTCAGAGTTCGAACCTGTGACCTCTCGACTTTGCGAGGCGAGTGTTTTTTTTTATATTAATTATATATTTTTGTATGTATGTATATTGCTATTTTCATAAAGAAATACAAATGTATTAAAAGGGACACCGTATATATTTGATCGCTTGCTTTCCTAACTTCGATATTTTTTTTTAATTTTTATCAAAATAACTCGACTAACACTGATTAATATATTTAAATTTTAATTAAATTTATTTAGATACTATGTAATGTATGCGATAGTATAATTTATTATTACAAATAATAAATTAATTTTGTCTTATCTGCCTTTCAGATATCTGTTTTTCTTGAAATACTCCATCTAAATATTCATAGAAAATTCGATTCGTCTTTTCCAATGTGTCGAATATTCCGACATAATTGTTACAAAATATTTAAATGTTGATATTGATGATTATGAAATGTTCATAATATAAATATTCTTATGAATATCTTATGAATGTATGAATATTTCACGTACATCGAAAATCGCAAGCGAACGATCAATACACATTTCCACCGTGGAAGAACAGATAACGTGACGGAGAGCTCATTAATAAGAATCATCTGGGAGAAATAATATAAGGAGCGCAGCATTTCACCTGTAAAGTAATCTACACAGCTCCACTGTAAGTTGAGTCACATCTCATACTCATTTGGATCGTCTTCAGCGAGTGCAGAACAATTGTCTACGCATCATTCTTGCCAATCTTCGGTATACATTAATTACTGATTTACGCACTCTATCAGGTATAAAACCTATTGATTCTGTTATTGCTCGAATGATCTCTTGCTTGCATAACGCCCATTACCAAAATCCACTTTTCCGACAAGTCGGGAATTATAATCTAAAACAGTGCTGGGATTTACTTGCATATTTCGGCCGATTTTCAGCTTGGTTCCTGCCTCTTTATCAATCCGCACGCAGCCTAAATTCCGATCGGTCGGTGAAGCAAACGGCAGGAACCAAGCTGAAATTCGATCGAAATATGCAAGTAAATCCCAGTACTGATCTAGAAGATCTATAGTTTCGCATTAAATGTCATTTATCAATATCTTTTACTCCGCTACTTCCATAGATTACGCTCACTTTCTGTCGTTTTATACGATGCTCTGATATTTTTATCTTGCCTACTCTTGCTTTGCTATGTTGAAGAACCACCTTTATTTTTTATCTTTCCTGGTTTGTTATAATACCTTGCTTCATTTTTAATTTTTCATATATCGGGGTTTTTTCCCCCCTTTCTTTTCTACTCTAGAATTAAAACGCCTCTTCTAAGCTCCTATTCTTCTTTGTATCATGAAATCTTACCTTTCCGGTTTTATACGAGTTGCAGAAACTCTCCCAGATACTGTTATTACGTAACTAATGAAAAAAAAAAAAAAATAAAATAAAAGTAACCTGTAAAGTAAACCTCAAAATTGAGCTCCAAGGTGAAAATGTAATGTATGTTTTAAAAGCAAAATTTGGTTTAACTCTTAATTAGGCGCGCCTCCCAGCCAAACTTAGCTCTGACAATGAGTATCGTGTTCTCAAAACGTAAGTAAAATCGTACTTATAAATTATTATAATAATGCGAAATGTTGAACCGATTAAGGGTTAAAAACTTATTCAGGGACGACGAGATCAGGAATTTTTGGAAAAATTTAAAATATATGGAACATTCTCGGAATATGTAACGATATATATATAAATGGAATTTTTGATCGATATTTATGAATATTGCTCTTAATTCGGTAAACATTTCGTAATTATTCCGGAATACTCTCGAAATGTTTTTTGGAGATTTTAGGAACCTTTTATAAATATTTTAGGAATATTTAGCGTTAGCTGAGAATGCATTCCTAATAAAAAATTTGTCATGCATGAATATGTATAGATATGTATAAATATGTATAAATATTCTTAAATATAATTTTATATGAAATAGGTTCATACATGTTCATACAACCTTTTTTTTAAGAAAAAGAACTGATTATAGCGTTCCTATAAACTGTTTAATTATACATTAACTGACGATATTTTATCATTTACTGATGCAGTATCATTAGTTATTGAGAGAATTTATAGAGCTAATTAGTTTATTGGGACACTAATCAGTTCTTTTTTTTCTAAGGGTTTTTTTTGCAAAATTACTTTTTAGTGTAATTAAAAATAAATAAATAATATCAAGGATATTTATATAAGAGAGAGAGAGAGAGGGAGAGTGAACATATAACATCCATAGAATACTCTTATATAATATTTAAAAATATATTATATAATGTTCTCAAAATATTATAATAACTTATTTTAATTTTTTTAATAATATTTATATAACATACTAGGAATATTTTGCGTTTATAGAATATAATTATATATGTTTATGAATATTTATACGTATTTATGTATAAATATGTGTTTATACATATTCATACATAAAAAATTTTACTGGGATTTTTATATAACGCGTTCTTATATCAATATTACTGAGAATAATATTTAAATGTAATATTCTCGTCAATTGAACAATATAAGGATCTGCGCACAATAGAACAAATATTAAGAATAGGAATAAATATTAAGATTTCGATCTAACAGATATCAGTTACACTAGAATATAAAATTTCTGATAGATTGAAATCTTAATATTTATTTTTATTTCTAATATTTCTTCCATTGGGTGCAGAGTCTAATTGTAGCAAAAATGAAGACTAATACCACCGACGAGATACTATTAAAGACCGACATCCTTACGGGAGTTAGCGTCCTTGTGAATATTGTAAGTAATTAAGAGTTAAAAACTGAAAATATTGTACTAATTTTATGATTTATTAGTTTAGTGGACATATTTATGCATTTAGAATTCAATAATACTCGATTTTTCTTTAAAATTGTGATTTTAGTGCTATTATCAAAGTTTGATTATCAACAGAGATGATAAATGCAGAAAAAAACTGTAATTTTTCTGCAATATATAGAATATTATTACAAGTATGCATATTTATTTATGGAATATTTATGTAATAAAAAATCATGAATTTAATAATGTATGAACCAAATATTTATGTTAATAATAGCAAATTTATATCAATTGTCGATAATGTCAGCGTTCTTCAATTATCTTCTGACCCTTTTTATACCGTCGAAAATTTGCCCAGGATTGACAGTCTTTAATAGTATCTCGTCGGTGTTAATACTTTCAATAATTTCTATATTTTAAATTATTTATCTGCTATATTTTGCTTATATAAATGATCAAGATGATTTTATTATTTTTATAATTAGTAGCTATGAACAATAATCAATAAAAACTTATAATAAATCAATGTAATAAATCAGCTAAATAAATAAGATTTTGACTTAATTTCTATTTCGAAACAAAAAAACTCGATTTTTTTTTCGTGCTTTGTTCTGAGCTGTATTCGAAATTTACTGCCAGCACTGAAAATGCTACAGTTTACGTCACGTGCACTATAGATTTTCAGTGCTAGCAGTAAATTTTGGAACACAATCTTATTACCATCCGAGAGATCACTCAAAAAGTTATTCTATGTAACTGATAAACATTCCTACTGGTGTCGTGAGCGCCAATAATGTGAGTTGGCAGTGTTAGCACTTAGCATTGGCTTGCATTTAGAATAGTTTTTGTCGCTTATCACTGGTTGATTGAAACTGATAACGGAAGATCAAGATTTCTCGGACGTCTGACCTGAGCCTCTTATTGCATTCCACGTGCATGTACATCGCGAAATAGTACATTGCAGTCGATGAAGACGAAACAAATTGTGGCAATATGGCACAATATATCAGAAAAGCGACATTATTTTTGTTTACTCAGGAATGTATAAAGGAGTACTTTGATAAGTTCAATTTTTTCCACGGTATGTTTGCTCCGATATTATTACATTTTATTTTTATCGCAAGCTTTTTTACGATTCTTCAGCGACATTTTATTTCTGACATGAAAGCTGTAATGTTTCCGACATTTAAAAATTTAAATTATACTCGAGTTTAAATGAGTGACTATTAATTAATCTTATTAAAAATTGAACTATTTGTCTTATATATGTAATTTTAGTTATTGTTGCGCGATGTTTGACTGTTTTGTATATGTCACATTCAAATTTGTTGATAACTTGTGAAATCGTTGGGATTAAAAATGAAATTTTTTAATAATCACACATACAAGAGCGTAAAATATGATCATCTTGGAAATATTTCAGTCGGATGCTTCAAGACAACATTGAGCAAAGCTCTAGGACTGGGCATCATTGGAGGTTCCTTTCTTGGTTAGTATGTTAGGTTTTAAATATAAAGATATTTACTTCATGTTGCTTCAAAAATATATAAATTAAAGTATTTTATTTAACAACTACAATCTTATGTGTAATTATCATAAGAAATAATATATAGTTTTTTTATGTATTATTAATGTAAATCCTGGGAAAAAATGTTATATAAATGAACATATTTTATATATAATTATATATAATTGTATATAAAATATGTTAATTTTTTATATAATTATATACAATTATATATATTTATGTATGAAACATGTGAATCTGATTCGAGAATCTGATTTGAACAAACTCTGCTCGATTTCTGTTCCCAAATTGCTGGCATAGCCTATCAGCAGGCTTTATCGACAAATCCATAGCCAAATGCAGATGGCTATAGTTTTGTAGGCAAAATTTGATCAAGTTTGTTACCAATTTGGCCTCAAATTGCTAACATTTTGCTATCAGGGTAGTTATGTATGTAACTATTTCGTGTATAGCATTTTATATTTTATTTAAATATACTCTTATCTCAATGCTTTGTCTAGATATGTTCTTATTTCATGTTTCCTAAAAATGTTCTTACCTTAGGCCTTATCTAACTATACTGTTTTTTCTTTTTAGTGAAAGTACCTCAAATTGTAAAAATTCTAAAAGGTAAAAGTGGCGAGGGAATCAACATCTTCAGTATATTATTGGATTTATTTGCTATCACCGCAATGTCTTCCTATAGTTTCTGCAGTAGATTTCCATTTAGGTGAATAATTTTTAAACACAAAAGTTGTGTACGTATGTGTAAACATACAAAATTTTCTGTTTTTACACACATTTATTTTTATTTATATTGGTATTAATTTCAGTGCCTGGGGAGATGGAGTATTTTTAGGACTTCAAACTTTGATCATCGCAATCCTAGTAATGCATTATAATGGAGACACAGCGAAAGCAATCACATTCCTTTCTACTTATATAGCAGTGATTTCTATTGCTAATAGTAGATTCACACCCATCAGTGTTCTCTGGGCATGTCAAGCCATGAATATACCCATTGTTCTTATGAGTAAGGTAAGAAATCACATTATCATAACTATAACTACTTTTGAGAATTTGTTAATCTTATCTCACTGGATTAATATATTGCAAATATATTAATTCATGATTTTATATGGCGTTACAGTTTATGCAAGCTTATACAAATTATACCAATGGAAATACCGGCCAGTTATCGGCAGCAACATGTTTCATGCTGTTCTTCGGTTCTCTTGCCAGAATTTTTACCTCTATTCAAGAAACTGGTGATACCACTATGATATTAATGTACGTGTGTTCCACTTTAGCAAACGCTGTAATAGTAACACAGCTTCTTTATTACTGGAACGTGGATGTAAAGAGCAAAGAAAAGATCAAGAAGAAAAGTTAATGAAAGAAATAAGAATGTTTATATACATCTCTCTTGTGTGATTGATAATTTATGTAGGCCAATAAATAACTTATGGTTACGATAAAATTTCGCGTGAATATTTCACGAACCAATGTGATGAGAGGCGAATGCCTGAGAATCACTTTCCATAAGGAATAAATTTTTTAGAATGTCTGCAGGAATAATATATTATATATAGATATATTATATATAGATAATTTAAAATTATAATATCTTATAGCCGACAATAGGAATATTTGTTTATTTTTATTAAAAGATAACGAGAAATGACAATATATTGTAAAATGTCACTTATTAGGTATACACAAGACTTAGATAAGACTGAATTATTATTGAATGCGTTCCTCAGCTAGCTTGTTAAATTTTTCCAATATAAAACAGGACAATATCTGTTGTACTTATTTTACCAGTTGTAAAACAAGAAATATTTTGTATCTTTGCTGTGTTATCATTTATTATTGCAAATTCTCGATTGTTATGAAACGTATCATTTATATATTAAATTATTATATTGTTAAAACATGAGTTATTCCATTCCAGCTGCATTTGTCCTTGAGTCGCGCAGTTTAGAAAATCATATATATTATTTCAAGATCGTCTTAATGTAATTTGGGCTACTTTTCTTTTAGGAGACAAGTATTGTTCTTTTTTTTTATTCATTGAATTCCAAAATGCGTGGCAATCGCTGACGCATATGATGACTTTATGTAAAAAGAATTTTATCGCACGTTGTACATAATATTTTTATTTATCTTTTAAACTCTTAACTATTTTTTAAATATTTTTAAAGAGCAATTTTTAGAGAAATCGTGTCGCCAAAATTTGAAACCATTGATCGGATAGTTTATTTTTCGATGCCGTTAAAATCTTTCAGTACATACAGAGCCATTTTTGAATCAGGATTGTATACTGATCTATAAGATTTTCTCTAGGACAAACGTGAAAAGTGAAAAACTTAGATCAACTTAGTGGTAAGAATTTTTATTTTTTACATTTCGGCTCTAGAAACAATTTACAGTCCCCTGAAACAAAAATATTTCTTTAAATATACAGTACACGTTTTGGAAGAAATCTAACAAGAGCGAGAACATGCAATTCGTGTTACAGGAATAGAGAATTGATTTTTAAAATTTAATTTGGTGCCCTCTTTGTGAATACGCCTTTGTGCACAACTTGTACATCTGTTTGGCAGTTCTATCAAAGAAGATAGAATAATGTTTGTATCTGTAGTTACGGTTCTAATTGGCTGCGTGTAGCAGAGAAAACTAATCAGCTTAGTGATTCTTTAATATGATTGGTTCTTGCCTTTAGTTCTTCACCGGATCTAAGTGTAGGAACCAATTATATTGAAGAATTATTAAGCGCTAACAGATTAGTTTTCTTTCTGCTAAACGCAGCCATTGGTTTATGATAGCTTAAGGCTCAGTTTCACAACTTACGGTTAACGCTTAACCGAGATTCAACTTATTTCTCATCTCTTTCCAATTAGAAGAAGAAGAAGAATAAGTTAAACCTTAGTTAAGAGTTAATGAGTTGTGAAATGGACTTAAGGGTGCCTTTCACGGTACATCATTACATCCTTGTTGTTCGCCAATGATAAACAAGGATGAGATGGAAAGCACCCTAAGACTGTATTTATGGCCTTAAATATGTATAAGAACCGATTATGAATACTAATCTACGTGCCGCTAGATTAGCACTCCAAGAGATTTGGTAAGAATTATTTCGTCATGTGGGGCGCGGCACGCCACGATACGCTTATATGTGTGTGGGCGGTTGGCTTGGTTCGGCTGCTGGCATTCGAGCACATTCGACGACGTTCGATAAAGGTAGCTTTGTGTTGCGCATGCGCCGCAAGATCGTTTCGCACCATCATCGTTTCCGCCGCGTCACAATCCGTGAATCGTGCGACGTTCTTCGACGTATCTGCTCGCGTTTGTTCGCTGCCGACGATGTCACGTAGCGCGGCGTAATTCTTGCCCGAGTTTCTTTACTGGATTCTCTTCTTGGCACATAAAACGCCGAGGTGAGCGGTAAGTAACACTCGCGTAATATCTGGTTACGGGCGGTCGAGAAACGTGCGTTGGAAAGGTGGCGGATTCGACAACGGCGAGAGAAATCGATGCGTCATGGCGCCCGATGCCGTTCCCGTAATCCCTCGGATTTTCAACGACCATCTTGTCGAGGAGGAGAAATCAATATAGCTCGCGTATCTTGCCTACATATATATATACGACAACGTGGTATACATATATATATATATATATATATACCATGTTGTAGTGAATTAACTGCGACAACACTTCCATATGTAGTCAATATACCCGAGGAGCATGCTTACCTCGACACGAGGTTGGATGATAGAAAGTTTCGCTGATGGCGTGGTCGCTTTGTTTCCGGAGAGCGTGATGACGCGCCAAAAATGCCTGTGACCTTCCAGTAGTTCCACACAAGTACCGCCAGACGTTTACTCGACTGTGCCTGCGGTAATAAATAGAGACGTGTGAGATGGGTAACTTTTAAGAAATTTGCTGGACTACGGTTCGTTCAGCGGACACCACGTTGCCTTGGTCATTGGATGTCGTACGCTCAAAAGGGTTTTTTTTATGCATGAGAGAACGGTTAGAGATGCCTCCATGTAACAATGTGCCGATATACCTGTGTCTTTATTTTTTGTTGGACACATAATATAATGGACATACTTGAATGTTCTCATTGTTGCGATCGAAGGGCATGAATAATTCGAACGCGACGATTTTCATAGTCTTGCAGATTAGGTTCGTCTCTTTGCTGAGCGAGAATGGAATCAATGGATGCGCGTCTAGTAGCGCAAGCGTTGAACTACCATGGTCAGCAGTTGCAGAAAGTATGGGAAGGAGAACGCAACGAAAATGAGCTAGTCATGCTCAATCTCAAGGATCCTAGCTTTGAAATCTATCAACAACGGCAAAAAACTCTGAGGTATATGTCAACTACATATTTGAAATTATCTAGATGCAGATATACTATCTGGAATCTGTTGTCATTCTTTTGTTAAAATTATACTTTACAGCTTTGGAGATAGAGGCAAACGTCTAAAGCTTCAACAGTTTCTCACTAAAAAAGCTGATGACCTGTACGATAAAGCAAACTTGGAGAAATCTTCAGACAGTAACAAGCCAGAGTTGGCAGATGAAGGTAATAATTTTTCAATGTCATGTGTGTGTATATTTTTTTTCCATTAAACGCAATGTACCTAATATTACACAATGTCGTGTAATATCCATGTATTGTTTCAGAATTTTATGCTACAGTGCCTGCACTTGATACTTTTGTCACTATGGAGAAGTCTCAACGTATCCGTAATTTTTTGGAGGTAAATGATATACGAATTAGGAAACGAATGCAATAATTAATTAATTTCTAAGTAATCTTATGGCAATTCTAATTTGATATTGCTTATTTAATTTATAGAGTTTAGTAATTGGGGATGTGATATTCGCACAAGTAATGGGTAAAAGCGCCGCAGGTCTTCTTCTGAAGGTGCTTTGTAACTGCAGTGACTGTCCTAGAGTTGTTACTGAATTAGGAGTTAAGGTATGTCGACATGTCAACTTAAAAATATTGCTTTCTAGTGATTTATGTATCATGTTTAATATATTTCAAATCAAGCCTAAGCTATCGATTGAACCTATTCGGAAATGTAATGGTTCAGTCGCTATATTGTGACCAATAATCTTTCGAGTACTCGCAATTAGCCAACTTATTTAGATACATAACTATATCTTTTATTTGTATTTAATAACAGATTTTTTTATGTTGTGTTTATTAGGCACTAATACTAAATACGGCCACTGTGCCGGCGGTGGACAAGAAAGGTGTTACAAGAGGCTACATGGCAAATGATCTCGTCTGCGTCGTAGTCAGTGAAGTTAACGTTGAAGCCGAACGAGTTGTTGCAGTTATGAACGTACCTGCCCGGGAAGGGCAAGCACCACACCCATCTATGGGGCTTATCCATTCCGATGATCTTCCAGAAGCCTACAAGTAAGTTAACACAATAAACTGACTACATGTAATTGCAAGTCTACCGAATCCATAATATGCTTCACTAACTCTTGTAAGTTGACTATGTATCTCCAGGGGATGTTCTATTCACATAATAAACAATGAGAGCATTTTGTGATGTCATACTTTTGTTCGTTATGTATTACTGTATGTAAGAGTATTTGCACTCTGAAATAGAATTTTTTTTTAATTAATTGTGATATATTGAAATTAAATGTGGTATATTTAGATCTAAAGTCCATACTGATTTTTTTCTTTTAATTGTCTATTGTTCTATATAACAATAGATTTATTACATATATAATTTGTCATGTTTTGTTCGTTTCAGTTTGTCTTTGATTTTTTTTTTTATTTTTATTTTTTTTTATAAATATAAATTGAAGGTAAGAATAATATGGCATGGTGAAAAAAGAAGGGCGAACTTTTTAACAGAAGCACTGATACTAACAAAATTAGGTGAATTAGTTTTGATTCCTCTTACACATTTTTATGAATTTAGGTGCCAGACACTCTATGTAACGTAAAAAGTTGATAGTCAGTATGATGATGAATTTCTAATGTGATACAAATGAATTCAAACCTTGAGCATTGGTTGACATGGCTCTATTGCGCACATATTCTCTCTACGTTTGTGATATATTACTCTCAAAGCACCAGCCAGACTATGGCGCAAATGACTTTTGAGATTGAATTTCCAGTATGAGACATTGAGCCTTGAGCGGTCAAAATGAATGCAACAGACGGTAGGTATAACACTGATTTAAAGTTGTTTGGTCTCTTATAAAGATATCAAGTATATATATATCTATATGTATGTTATTGTATTCTTTTAAAATGTATACTAATATAATCTTTTTGCGCAAATCGTGTATCGTAGCAAGAGGTATCCATATTTTCATGTTCGATCGTAATTTTCGTTGTTGAAGGTAAGGTGGAATAGATTTATAATCTATAGAGGAAATATTATGAGATTTGAAGCAGAGACCAAACAACTCGAGTCTTAATCGCCCAAAAACCTTTTTACTTTTAATCCTCAAAAGAATCGCGCCTTATCATAATAATGCCTTAATGTTTAAACTTACAGCTTATATTGACAAATAAAAAAAAGTGATGTCATATTGATAATTGACATCACAAAATGCAAACAGACGAAACTTCTACATCTTAAAAAATTTTTTTGGTCCGCCTTGGAAGATAATATATCAGGCGTGGCTCCCAACCTATCCTAGGGTTATTTATTTTATCGCACCAAAAAAACTTGTAAAAACCGAAACCACACCATCGATTGATGATAGGCCGTGTGCTTTTATGTTGAGAAAAAAAAATCCTCTGATTACAAAATACTAGAAATATGCGTCTTAACGGTGAAAGGTGAGAGACGAGTTTACATAATACTGAGGTTGCGTTACCAATGTAAATTTATAACATTGAGATTATATTTGTTAATAAAAAAAGGAATCTTACCTTCTGCACCGTATCCCAGTTTCGGACCCCTGCTGCTTCTTAACGGTATAAACGTAGATTTTGAACGATTCTAATACCAAAAGTTGTATAATATTCTATAATGCAATCAAGAAGAATCGAATTAGTATTTAAAGCACTTTTGGCATTAGTGTTGTATCATTGATTAATACATGCAGATCGAAGTGAAGAATCACCATTATGCAGGAATAAATGAATAATTATACTTTATTATATGTGTATGTGGGAAGACTACAGCAAATAATGCACACACGTATGCATGTGCTTACACAGCAGAAAAGTATATGGAATACGACAAGATGTCGAAGAGCAGGCGCATACGAATTGCCAAATGGGCGATGTTTTTTATGGACAGGATCAATAAGGACTCGGCTGTCATGATTATCAAGTCTTTAGTTTTACCGTTAACGAAGTAGCTTTGGTTTCCTCTTTGGCAAAGGTCACCATAATATATGCAATATTTGATAACTAGGTATTTTTTTCTGTGGTGTAGGAAAGCGATCGACAACAAAGGTCAGACTTATGAAACGCTGTTGGAGAATAGTACTGGCTTCAACAATCCAAACAACATAAAATATCTGTGCGACTTAATCGGTCTCGGACAAGGAAATCATTCCAATATGGTTGGATTAAGGTAAACATAGCCAAAAATTTATATATTTAAATAAACATACATCTACATATGTATGTATGAGATATCCGCCTGGAATGAATAAAATGCTTCGACGCACACACACACACATACACACATATACATGTATCAGAAGGGACATTTTATTCGTCCCAGGCGGATATCTCAGAAACTAATAGTGTATTCGACTCGAGCCTTCCAACTCTGGCACCGCGTGCCCCAAATCCCCTCGCCTTTCGCCCGCTCGTGCTTGTCCCCTACCATGAGTTCAATGCTTCTCTATTCGTGGCTGTGTACTGGCGCGGCGACACGGCGTATTATTTCGTATAGCGATCAAGCGCGGTTTCATCGAAAGACAGATATGTATACCGAGAAAGAGACAAAAGTAAAAGAAGCCATATTTGTGACTTATTTTATTTTCGTTTGGAATTTTTATTGAGTCTAAGAATTATATTTGCATACTTGCCTACTTGTTTGCGACGGCTCTGAACACACGTGGCGGGAAGATTGGAAGGTAGCGTTGAAGGGGGTAACATTCGAGAGGGGCCTGCTTACCGTTGAAATCTTGGTAGGGACACGATCACGTGACCATTTGGAAGGCTCTGGAACAGACTATTGACTTGGAGTCGGGTTGAAACAATAAGTTGAATACGCTATATAATACAAGAAAAAGTTTTATATAAAAGTTGTAGGTGTTTTCTTGGTGGAAAGAAAGTGGAAATAATAGATTTTGTATATTATTATGGTTAATCAAGAGCAACATGAGTTTTTTTTTAAATAGGCACCACTATTTTTTATTGCATATTCTTGTAGCTGAAGTCGAATTATTTTCAACTTATATACAATTTTTTTCTGTATCATCTCTCTTAGTTTCTGAGATCGCCTAGAACGATTTAAATGTCGCACTCTGTATATACACTCATTTATTGATAGACAAACTCAATTACTTTATAGGTCAGTTTCATTTGACGCTCATAACGTTTGTGAGCATCATTGATCCTTGTTTGATACTTAACAAACAAGGATGAAATTATTTCAAGAATGTTATGAGCATCAAATAAAATGCAGACTATATTATGTTCCTGATTATGTTTATTTATTGATATGCAGAGAGAGATTTCCACCAAATGAATACGCTACTGAATTGCGACAAGCACAAGCAAGCAAGTGGGCATTCCGAAGTGTCGCTGAGGGAATAGATCATTTCAAGGCCGGTCGTCATTCCGAAGCTTTCCAGTGTCTCAATAAAGCACTTACTGTCGATCCTCGCAACGTTGAGGGTTTGGTCGCTCGAGGAGCATTGTAAGTTTCTGACTGAAAATTACATACGTGCGTTTAATTATGTTAATGTATGCACAAACGTGTTTAATATACTATTACAGATATGCAAACAGTGGAAGTTTCAAGAAAGCGATCGACGACTTTGAGACAGCCTTAAAATTAAATCAGACACATGCGAATGCTCGTAAATATATGGCGGAAACACTGGTTGCTCTAGGACGCAGTTATGAAGATGAGAAGAAATACGAAGATGCTCAAAAAGCATATGAAAATTGTTTGGCGATTGCGCCATATCATGAGGAAGCCCGAAATTCCATTGAATACATCAAATCTAAGACTCTCACGTCGTCACTGAACCCTCTGGATACTTTTAAGAACTTTGACACCGAGAATGACGTTGCAGAAAATAAAAAAGAAAAAAAGAAACGCAAAAAGGAAAGAAAATCTAGATCAAAGAAAAGACAAAGATGGAGTTCCTCCTCAAGTTCTTCATCCACCGGATCTTCGACCTCTTCGAGTTCAGACTCGAGCAGCTCATCATCATCAGGAAGCTCACGATCGGCTTCTCGATCACCAAATCGTAAACGCAAACATAAGAAAGATCATCGCAGTTCGCTTTCGCCACTTAGTAAGCGAATGGCTCAGTATAACAATCCTCCTGCTGCAGCTGCCACTACTCACGATACTATCGCACCGGCCTCTTACACCACAAATGCGCGTGAGAAAATGGATGACTACGAAATTAAAGTACGCAAGTTTCTTGAGCAAACCAAGGACGATTCTGATTATGAAGATAAGGCAAGTATAAATTTATGAGTTTACTTACTTGCATATTTCAAAGTTTGTAACATAAATATTAATTCATGATGTTATATTTATGAACAGGTAAGAAAATTCTTAGAAGAGACAGCAAGATGGAAGAGAGAAAGAGAAAAGGAAAAGAAACATTCTGAAAGCGAAAAAATGAAGAAGAAAAAGAAGAAAGAAAAGAAGGGGAAAGATAAGGAAAAGGAGGACAAGAAGAGTCGTAAGAAGAAGAAGAAGGAAGAACGAAAAAAGCGTAAAAACAAGGACAAACTTGAACGAGATTTAGAAGCATTGAGAAAATCATCTTTGCCGGATTTGGAACAGTTAGAATCCAAGCTTAGTGCTTATTATGCGAAAGTTGAGAAAGACTGTGCGGCGCTTAAAAGGTTGGAATCATTGTTAGAATTTTGTCGTAATAATGGATTTAATATTTTTTTAATTACCTTCCAGTTAAGCAGTTTGATTTCAACTCGTGTTGTACAATTTTTATTTACGCTGTTTTCATATCCTCAGCTATCGCAAACGGAAATCACGCGATCGTCAGACATCGTATTCTACTTATGTTTTTATATTTACTAGGTATGTAGCACAGTATAATGACATAACTTCCCCTCTTAGCAACGCGGAGAAGCTCGCTGAAAGTTCACGCAAGGAGGAGGAGCTGCGTAGAGAGAGGGAAAGAGACGAAGCTTCGAAGGCATATCACGAGCGAGAATCCAGGGTACCAATGACTGCGCAACAGAGAAAAGGTGTGTATATTCATAAAATGTATATTAAAATATAACGATGTACGATCTCACCATAATTGTTTAAAATGTTTGCAGAAATCCAGAGGAAGCCACTAACAGACATATTTGAACAAGAATCCCAATTGATTCATCCCGAACCGAAACTTCCTACCCTAGACACTGCTGCATTAAATGCTAAATGGAAGGCTGCACAAGCTGCTAGGTAAGTAATTAAAGATGTATGTAATATAATTTTACATTAAAATATAATTTGTAAGATAGAATGATATTGTTTCATATTTTACTTTGCTGCAAATTTACATTTATGCATGATTTCAGACAAAAGGACGTTTCTTCACAAAAATGGCAAGATGTCCAACCAGATAACAAGAAAGTACAATCTAATGTCTTTGTGGATAGCGACGAGGATGATGATAATGAATTGGAAGAAAGAATACAACGTGCGGCTCTTGAGAAATCTTTGAATATACGAAAGCAAATGCAACGCGAACTTGCTGAGAAAAGAGCACCGCCACCGCAACCTACACCGACACCACCACCACCGCTACCGAAAGAGCCTCCAATGCCAAAGCAAGCGCCGGTCAAATATCCTACACCGCAACCGCAGAACAAATTCCAATCGTACAAGGATTCTACTATATCTGTGTCACAAACTACACCGACCAAGTTTGCCTCTACCAACAATTTGGGCGGCAAATTCCAACCGATCGGTCAAAATAGCGGAACTGGACATCCACCGGAACCACCGCGTCCTCCGCCAACGGCAAAGGCTCAAGCCAAAGGTCCAAGAACCGATTCCGACAGTGAGACTGAACGTCAGCACCGACAAACTCCGAAGAAACGCGAATCGAGCAGCAGAGGCGGCATGAGTAAACGAATGAGCAGGGATCGTCCAGGAAAACGTTCGCGTAGTCGATCTCGCAGTGCCTCTAGTTCCGGATCGTCTAGATCACGATCACCAAGACGCAGTCGCTCACGTTCATATTCGAATCGACGATCTGGCAGTTATGAGAGGAAGTACAGCAGATCTCCTTCGGGTACATACAGTAGATCGCGATCACGATCAAGATCTAGGTCATACACCAGAAGTCGTAGCCGCAGTAGGTCGGGTGATCGGGGTTACTATCGCAAGAGGCAATTCCGACCATACAACAACCGCGGCACGTACTACAAGCCACGTTTTCAAGGTTTCAACAATCCGAATCATCGTGGTGGTGGCAACAATTTCCAGAATCGAAATCGCTTCTACAACAATCAACATAATAATCGTTTCGGTAATCGTCGTGGTTTTAACAATCGCGGTGGTCGAGGCGGTCGCGGTAATCGTGGTGGTAGATTCTTTCATAATAAACAAGGCTTCCGTGATTTTCGCGACAGACGGGACTTCAGGGACCGTCGTGCTTCGTCGCGTGATCGATATAGCGATCGCAGTTATTCACCGGATCCAATGAGGAAGGTTGACGAAGCAAAGGAGAAGATCAACAAGATGCTCGAAGGAGGCGACGACATTGAACATCAACAGAGTGGTAGCGGTGGCACAACCGTGCCACCTAACAAGAGACAAGCTGGGCCCTTGAGCGAAGGAGAAGAGAGGGACGATGACGACTATGAGAGGTGGGGAGAGGGAGAGGGGGGCGATGCAGCTAGTACCAAGGTTGGTTAGACTTCAGGTTTCAACCTACGAAATGATAATCTCATCTTTACGATGATGATGATAACCTGATTGATGATAAAAACGAGGAATAACATGAAGAAAATAATGATGATGATCAGCCACGAGAGAACACGCCACGAGCCAACTAACTCTCGTTTGTTGCCAGACTGACGGAGTCAAACCTGTCGATGATAACCTGGAAGGCAAGGAGTACTTCATTGAGCGCATGAAACAGCGAAGCAAGAACGTTTTAATGCAGAGAGCCATTGCTGCTAAGATTTGGTAGTTAGGATCTGTTACCGCCACCATCGCTGCTTCTCTGTGATATAGTCGCTTTCGTTCCATCGCCCGTACTCTGGCTAATCGACCGATTGACCGATGAGGCACGTCGAGACACTTGTAGTTTTGTAGTGCCAATCTCTTCTATTATTCACATATAAATATTTGTAATGTCAAAACTTCTATTTTTTTTAATGTAATCTTATTTTTTTCCAGTAATTTAAAATTAATCTGATTTAAACATGAATTGAATTGAATTTAAATAGCAGTTGTTTCAACTATACGTAATAACTACTATAATGATTCACTCGTTAAATTTTGTTGACATTTAAAAAAATTTGATATTATTTCCAAAGGGAAAATGTCAAATAGGTTATAAATATTTAGTTTAAACATTAGTTAATGCATATATTCTTATGTTAGTAAATAATTATAGTTATATTTCAGTTCATCAACATGCAATAAGTACTCATTTAGAGGCTACATATATACAATATAATTGGCAAGTGGCTTTTCATTATCATTTGGATATGTATCTTTTTTTTTTTTCAATAGTGTACATTTTGGAAAAACATTCAGAATTAGATTGAAACGAAAATGAGGGAAAAATGTATTTAAAAAATTCCCTATAAAAGATTAGCAGATGGTCGCTCATATATTCGAATGCCTAACAGCAATACTTTCATTGTCTTTGATTATCGTAATAATTAAAATAATCCTTGTAATAATTAAAGACACAAAATCACTAATGTAAACTTCAAGTCGAACATCTTGATAGAACGTTATTGAAAACGGATTAATCATTGCTCCATATTATGATTATATACTTTGAGTTTTAATACGAGCAATTTATTACGGAATAAGATACGTATATATGTTGTATGTAAACGAGTTGGTTGTACAATTGAACACAAATATATAACACTGCAAAAAAAAAATAGTAAAACTCGACTTTCCGAAAGAACTAGACATACTCCTTCCTGTTGAAGTATCTTTATCAAGAATCTGCATACTAGTTTTAGTGCACTGTATTTTGATATCTGAATTTGCATCAGTACTGGGATTTTCTAAACGTCTTATCGATGATTGTCGCTAACGACAGCCAATAGCAGAACAAGGAAGAAAACGCAACTCTCATTAACTGTCGCTAGTTAATGATGGTGACAATTGTCGATAAAACGTGAGAATTCCACAACAGATTAGTATATCGCGAGTACTTATTGCCGTTTCTACCAATATAGATTAACTTTAGGTATGGTCAAAGTCTCACTAAAAATGTTTTGAAGTATTTGATTCTTCGAATGAAAGGATCTTACGAATTAATCAATCTAGAGTATACTTCGCAGCATTTGTATGTAGCATCACTTTAGGAGGCGGTCCACTTGACACTACAAATGCTTCGAAATTTGATTGACCAATCGAAAGAAAGAATTTTATTAATTGATCAATTAAAAAATGCTTTAAAGCATTCGTAGCATTAAGTGGTTCGTCGCCTTCACCTCTGTTCAACTTACTCCTAATCCTTTTTTAATTCTTAGAATTGGAAAAAGAATAATTCGTTAAACCAAAATTAAAATCAAACTATATTGATAGAAAAAGGTAGTATGTAAATTGAACCGAGATTAAAGTTAATCTTACATAGAATCGGGGCCTTAAAGTTGCCAATGTCTCGCACTGGTTTTCGTATATGTCATTGGTGTACACTACGTTACATCGTGCGCATCTTATAACCCAAATTTTAAATTATTTAGGTCCCATGATGTGGTACCAAACACTTGGTAGATTATCCGATCTAGCTTTAGGATCTACTATATTCCTCTGAACGAGATTTTTTCGTTCGCAAGTTGCAAATGTAAACAGAATGAAGAAATAAGCGAATGTTCAGCACATTCGTTTTGTCAGAAGAGATGCAGCAATATAGAAGAATAGGAGAGAGACTGCCCTGCCCGAGAAACTGGATTGTTTCGAACGCAACATTAAATTTCCGAGAGAGCATGCGAAAAAGAAGCTCTGATAAGTCACGGCGAACATAAGTAATGGAGCGGATTCACTTTCATCAATAAATGGAAAGTATATAGTCGTGTATATAAAATCCTATATATAATGATAATCGCATTCAATAATTATATAATACACAAGTGATTTTACAGATGCTCCTCTAAAAGATTCCGAAATTCGCGAATCTCAAAATGCTACAGCAAGTAAGTTATCGAAAAGAATAAATATTTTTTATTTTTTTTCTTTTTTTTTCGAACAGTTGTTTTTATATATAAAGATCAATTATAGATTGTGGTTAAACGGCTGCCTGTCTGAGTGTTTTCATTGGTAAATGTTAATGATCGCACTTGGCGATTCACAAACATAAGTCGTTTAATGGTAATCTATAATTGGTCACTTTGAAAGTTCATATCTCGAAAACTAATGTTCGAAACGGAAAACAATATAGTTTTGTATTTTTTTTTCTAGAATTTACTCGCTGTGGTATTTTGATTCGTTAATTTCAGAAGACACTGTATACATAATCAAACAATTCAACAAAATATATAAATAAATTGATTATTGTTGATATCCGGAGATAAAAATGATTACCAAGAGAATGCCGTGGTATAATTTAATTGGCTAAATTATGCATTCCTCAAACGTGTTTGCGCGTTGTTGTGTCGACGCGACGATGCACCTGCGTATGCACGCATTCCGTGCAATAAACGACGGCTGCCATTTATTACTCACTTACTCGGACTCGCTGATGTAAAAGGAAGCGTGCAAGTGTAAGTTTCATCGTATACAGTCATTTAAATTCCATTTCAAATCCGTCGAAACCTTGAAATCGCCCGAAGGCTCCTTCGATCCGTCTCCGCTCCGATCGATTATTCAATTCGCCCCGTCTTCCTATGCGTAATGATACAATTTGAAAGAATTAGTTCGCGATGTTTTAAATTCAAGGGACGACGAATTGGAAACTGCAAAATTCGTTCGTCATTATTTTTTCGAGACGGATCGCGGCACGCGACGCGGCTCGTCGGAGGGGAAAGACATCCTCTCGTGTCGAGGGAACGGAATTCCATCGCGATGGAAACGCTTCGTAAAATCCCACGTTGCTCCTAACTCGCACGAGTCGACTTCTCGGGATAGGATCCGGTGTCGGTGGCATCGAGCAGGATCGAGCAAGCACGCGCACGCACACAGAGCAACCTTCGTACAGTGAGATTTCGTACCACGCGTTGCGACTCACACGCACGTGGGTGCGCGCGGTCGTTGCTGTTTAGTCCACGTCCACCCCGGTCCCCTTCCCTTCCCCCTCTCGCCGTCGCTCGCTCTTTCCCTCTTCGAGCTCTTCGGGCTCTCCGACTTCTTCCCGTGCGCAAGTGAGCCAGCCTCGGTCGGCCTCGGCCGTCCTTGCCCCTTATGCTAGGCAACGCGTCTGTTACCGCATCTACTAGCTGGCGCGAAAACATCAACTCGCTCGAAACCAACGGATTAGAAAGGCCCCCGTAGTGATGGGCCCGATCCGATTCACGTCTACGCCGCTATCGAGCAATCGATGAACTTTATAAGGGCAGAGAAGAATGCGTAATAAAATTCTCGACTTTTGTAGGGAGTGGAGCTCGGGACGAGATACGGGCTGAAGAAGAATTTATGGCACGTTGTTAGGCTACTTTGAAATACGGACACTGTCAGGAACGGCGATTAGGGTCATTGCGGGAGTGCCTGAATAACGACCTTATTTCAGATAGAACGAGATTGCGGGTGAAGAGAAATATTTCGGATTAAACATACCACGTGGCTGTGTTCTTCCGAGAATCGGCAAACAAATTAAGTATTTAAGGACGCAAATAAAATGAACACCTATTAAGAATGCGAATATACGTTCGTCCCGTACAAGGAACGTAACACACCAAGTTAAGAGGCAGTTGAAATGATTTTGACGTCTTAAAAGTCAACATGGTTTATGATTACGAAATTTGACTATTTATTTATAATATTATACGTAAAAAATTTAAATAAAATTACGTTGACTTTTTGTGTTGACTTTTGAGCATTTATTCTCCCAGACACGAGGGTCGTATGATCTTTGCCGTTGGATCTCTTTCGACTCTCGCGAATCAAGACTCGTTGGAAAATTCTCAGACGAGAGGTTGTAACCGGTAATCTCGTGTAAATCTGCCACAACAATGTGTCTCGCGTGTTTGTATTTACGCGCAGTATCTCTACGTCAATTGTAAGTTTCGCGGAAAATATGTGAGTTTTTTGAAGCCCGAGTGCCCAGCCCATTTGTCACAGGAATTCACAGATCACTCTTTTTTTATCAATGTAAATTAACTTTAATTTCCGTTTAATTTACTTTTATCTTTTTCCAATTCTTAAAAAAAACCCGAATAACATTGCATGAGATATCTAAAAGACGTTTAAGGCTGGATTGCTTCACCTTTCGGTAAACTTCAGCTTATTGTCTTATTCTTTTACTCTTTTGTTTTTACTTTTGTTTTAGGTAAATTATCATAATTTATCCGAAGATGGAACAATCGGCTTTAAAAGATATATATTATCTAGGAAGTAAGTTAAACTGAGATTAAAGTTAATCTATATTGGTAGAATAAAAATGGACAACAGCCGAGAGAGCGATGATATAACTCGAAATACAACGCAACCGTTGCGTTGTAGGCGATTAGCTTCTTAGACGACAAAAAGTCTAAAATTGAGAAATACAAAGCGTTTGTAAAACGGGCAAGAATATACGATAAACAGCGTATCGCCCGATGGCTGCGTCGTTAATGGAAAACAATTAAAATTGTGTCGTATCTACATGGGCAATTATACATGTATTGTCGTTGACTTTACATCAACGACGCAATAGTCGACATTGTCTATCGTGCTCTTGTCTTAAAGAACGTCTTGAAGACGTACTTATATCCTAATTTTAAACTGTTTATAGGAGAACATAAAAGGACCCGAAGGAGAACAAGAAAGTTGAAATAATATTATATTAACTAAATTATCTAAAAAAATGACATAAATTCGGTCAATATATGACATCAAACTGACATTATTTCGACTAATTTGACTTTCTTATTCTTCTTGGGATGTCTTCTCATCTTTTAAATTCTTTCAAAAATATTTAAGAGCTTTCCGCATATTGCGCATGATGTATCATTTTATC